AAATTATTTTATTTTTATATTTTATTGCTTAGATGGGTGAACGAGCTCACAGCCCACCTTGTGTTAAGTGGTTACTGGAGCCCATAGACATCTACAACGTAAATGCGCCACCCACCTTGAGATATAAGTTCTAAGATCTCGGTATAGTTACAACGGCTGCCCCACTCTTCAAACCGAAACGCAATACTGCTTCACGGCAGAAATAGGCGCGGCGATGGTACCTACCTATCAATTGATATTAGAGACAGAATTATTTATCAATTGATAAATGTTTCTCTAAATTTTACTTAAACTACCATAAATTTTTCATGTAGGTACCAATGGTGTCGCGAATCTCCAAAGAGTATGTTAGTGCCTCATTCAGTATAAAAGATTGAGAACCACTCGTTTATGTACCTACAAAAAAGAATCAAGTAATGTGTGAAGTAGCACAGCGTAAAAAACATTTGTATTATGAAACTCTTGAATGGAACTGTGAAAATTATAAACAACTAGCTGACCCGGCAGACTTCGTAATGCCTCAATCGATAAATAAAAAACCTAAACTTTTGTATAAAATAAACTTAAAACAAACAAAAGGAATCCGTCCGACGGGGGACACAACAAAGGGAAAACAAAATAGTTATTTTTATTTAATTCTGAGCATTTTCATATACCTTTTAAACCTTCTTTGGACTTCCACAAATATTTCCAGACCAAAATTAGCCAAATCGGTCCAGCCGTTCTCTAGTTTTAGCGAGACTAACGAACAGCAATCCATTTTGATATATCTGTAGATTATTATATGTTATGCTATGTACGAAGTATGTTTTTAATCGCTGCTAAATTATTCTACAATATGTAAGGTTGTTGTAAAATAATTAAAATAAAATTTATCATGTTAAAGTTAAGGCAATTTTCGGATTCCCAAATAGCAACACTGTTGGTGGCAGCAATGGCAGTAGTGGGGACGTGACATAATAAAAAAGGCGGTAGTATAAAAAATGAGGGACCAGCCCACTGAGTTTCTCGCCGGATCTTCTCAGTGGGTCGCGTTTCCGATCCGGTGGTAGATTCTGCGAAGCACGGCTCTTGCTAGGGTTCGTGTTAGCAACGTCGTCAGGTTTGAGCCCCGTGAGCTCACGTATTTAAGGTTATGCTAAAAGAGCCTCTCAAGGCTATCTATCAGCGTATTTAGGAGAAAAAAAATGAGGGAGAAAGCACTGTATTCCGTAGTGAGCAGATATCTAAAGATTGTACAAGTGGATTTACAAATAAAGCAATATAGAAATAAGTGAACTATTGCAATCTGTGCATTTATTTCCTGGCTTGGAAGCTAGGTCTACAAATACATAGCCCTAAGTTTCTGTTATATAACCTAGCTTCATTTTATATTGATCTAGTTGGACAAATGAAGTCGTATCCTGAGAGATACGAAAGCCCTTTTTACTGGTGGTAGGACCTCTTGCGAGTCCGCACAGGTAGGTTCCATCACCCCGCCTATATCTGCCGTGAAGCAGTAATGCGTTTCGGGTTGAAGGGTGAGGCAACCGCTGTAATTATACTGAGAGCTTAGAAATCATATCTCAAGGTGGGTGGCGGATTTACGTTGTAAATGTCTATGGGCTCCGGTAACCACCAGCAAGAGCAGAGGTGGGCTGTGAGCTCGTCCAACTCTAAGCAATAAATTAAAAAATTTGGACGAATGAAGTCGTGGCCGAAGAGATAAGAAGTCCGCTGTACTCGTATCGAGCAATGCGACGCGGTGTTCGAATCCCACCAGGTTTACCAATTTTGATATTGAAATATGTATTTAGCTTATGTATGATTGTTACGACGAAGGAATAACATCGTGCAATCGAAGCTCAAATCCGCAAAATTATTTGCGTAATTACTGGCGGTATGGATTCTTGGTTGGTCTACTGGCATAGACACCATCGCCCTGCTTATTTCTGCCCCAAAGCTATAAGTATCTTCCGGTTTGAGGGGTGGAGGCAAGTAAACTCAAAATGGGTGTCGTAATTACTTTGTTGATGTTTGCCGGCTCCGGCAACCACTTAACGCCAGATGTGTCGTGTGCTTCTTCCGCCGTCTGAGCAATAAAAAAATGAGTTGACAATCCACCTGCTCGGAACGCCTGCCGAAATTTCTATCGCAAAGTACGAGTTACTGGAGCCCATAAACATCTACAACGTAAATGCCGCCACGGTTCGTGTTAGCAACGTCAAGTTTGAGCCCCGCGAGCTCGCTTACTAGTTCGTTGAATCTAGAATAACCCCTCGAAGATATTAGAAAAGGAAGAAAAAAAAACAATCTAAATATACGCCAATGGTATCGATGCATCTCTAGCAGCGCTGTGGTAATTTTTCATGCCCTTCTTAAAGAAGTCTGGTGTAGGGGAGCCAACAAACTCTTCAAAGGCATTTTGGGGGTGGAATTTGCTAATTGCCCGAGCGCCTCTAAAGGAGACCTAACAACTCAAGGGCAGCTGCTTCGCGAATGAATCTACTACCGGATCGAATCGCGACCCGCTGAGAAGATCCGGCAATTGCCTAGGTGCTGAACTCGGGTCTAACCAACATGATGACTGCTTACGATTATCACAAAGAATCTGTTTTTAAAGCAAGTTTTTGGGTGGACGAGGTCATAGCCCACTTGGTGATAAGTGGTTACTGGAGCCCATAGACATCTACAATGTAAATGCGCTACCCACTTTGAGATATAAGTTGTAAGGTCTCAAGTATAGTTACAACGGCTGCCCCGCCCTTTAAACCGAAACGTATTACTGCTTCACGGCAGAAATAGGCAGCGTGGTGGTACCTACCCGCGCGGACTCGCAGGAAGTTCTACCACCAGTGAACAGTGACAGTGCGTTTCAAAATCCCTTCGTTTCTGTGTCTGTTAAGCAACGTAAGGCTTAGTACTATAACGTGTTGGTCGCGCCGACGATCGTTGAGTTCGTGCGGCACCCACATAACAAGTTGTTTTTACCTCACCAATTTGACGCAAACGGGCCGATATTGTTCTGATGCTGACGTCGAAAGCTGCTGCTAACTCAGCGGCAGATTGAGTATCGTCAGCTTCCACTATCACTTTTAATTCGTCATTGCTGACTTTCGTTTTGAGGCGAACACGGGGTTCATTATTTAGATAAAAATTTCCATGTGGAAACGTTCAAGCCAATAACAAGTCGTGCGTTGGTTTGTAGTGTTCACTCCTTACACGTCATTAATGTTGTGAGTCGTTTGTGCGGTATTGCTACCGCGACGGAACTCTTCCTCCATAATCTATACTTCTATACTTATACTTATAATAATAATATATATTATATATAATATTATAAAGAGGAAATATTTGTTTGTTTGTTTGTATTGAATAGGCTCCGAAACTACTGAACCGATTTGAAAACTTCTTTTACTGTTTGGAAGCTACACTATTCCCGCGTGGCATAGGCTATAATCTTTTTTGAAAAAAATTAGGGATCCTTACTAAAACTACAATAATGTAGCCCAAGGTGTAAAAAAAATACCTAAAATATTCTTTACATCGCGTGAACTGCGAAAACTATTGATGATAGAATAAAATAATGTACTACGACTTGGTCGAACACATTCATATTTACAAAAAGTGTCGCGACAGCATGTCTAACTATATATAGTTATGCCGCAATAAGTGTAATTGTATTAAAAAAAATAAAACAATGTCAAATATCGTTGAAATTTTTGTTAAAGACCCGAGCGGAGTCGGAGCGGGCCGCTAGTTACTCATATTTTTATTGTGTCCATATTGATGAAGAAGATTAAAATATAGTGAAAACAAAACACACTAATCAATAAACAAATGACAGAATTTGAAAATGAAATTGCACATAATATTTGAAATCAAATTTATTGCCAGCCTTTTATAATTATATTTATATTATATTAATACATAAATCACATTTAAAATGGCCAGCTATGTAAAACAGTAACTTCATAGGTATCCTTTGTAATGAAATACAACAAGGTATCACGTCGGTTATCTAACGGAAAGAATATGTACCTATTGAAATGCTCAAGGTGACTAGTTTTTATCACCCTGTAATTATTGTCAGCAATGTAACAGCACTATTGATTGAAGCTACGCAGAGACAGCCTAACTTACATTGTTAGTAAAATTCTACCTATATAGTACCATAATTCCAAACACAGCTCAATAGTTTAAGACAAAATTAAATAGTAAAGAAGTATTTAATTGTCTCTTCTCATTTGGCTGGGCAGAAAATGGTTTGCGGGCAAAAATAAACAATAATGAATTTGACATAATCAATTTTGACAAGAGCGTGCATATTTTTTATTATTTTAATATTTTCTACATAAAACCTTCTGCGTGTTTTAAAAATGTTTAAAAAAACTACTAAGCAATTGAACAGAGACAAAAAAACTTGTTTATTACGTGCACAGTAAATAAAAACGATAACTTTTTAATTTTTAACCGCATTCTAGATGTTATTTCATGTTATTCAAGGCTGTGTGTTAATTTCATTAAACCTCGCAACGGGTTTGAAAGCAAAACGTATTTTTAAAATTTAAAATCGAAGCGTCTTAGAATCGCGCTAACATCAGATGAATGCGCGTATAATTAAAATAGGTTTCATTATAATGTAATATAATCATGCTTTTCATTTTGAGTACAAACATGATTTATGTTTATTATTACGAGAGATTTGAGGGAAATAATAAATAAATAAAAATAGCTGTCTAGTATTATTTTACCAGATGGACATTTCGCTTTTAAAACCAAGGCCGTAAATTGTTTTATTGGAAAATGAATTCGTACAATTAACTAATCTACCGTATTATTATGTATCCGTGGTATCTTATCGCGTATTTTAAACGTTAATTTAGTACAAACTACATAGTTGCGGTCACAGGCAGGACACGTTACGAACGTTGCATCTTATTTATTTATTAGCGCGAGGCGATATCGCGGCCTCCGCGCTCGCCACCTATTTGTTTTCCCGTCTCGCTCGGCCATATTGGATGCGCCGCGCCAAGCTGAGCCCGCCAGTTTCACGCGGACGTTCATGCGAGAGTACCGCTGTGCCGGCGCGCGCACCCAAAAACCGCACGCACATCGAAAACGCACATAAATTCAAAATGGGCCGTTCCCGAGACAACGACGCGATCAAAAGTAGCCTTATCATATCTGAAGTGCAGAAACGTCCATGTTTATTCGACACGAACGATACGAATTACGGCGACAGAGCGGAGAAGACGAGATGCTGGGAGGAGATCTGCGAGGTTGTGGTGCCGGGATGGACCGGCCTCGGGATGTCGGAGAAGTTCACCGCTGGTACGTTAACCGGACGATTTGCGGATGCGAGCGGTGCAGTGGGCGCGTGCGGCGCTCGGCGGCTCCGCGAACCGTCCTCTTGCATCGGTCGCGTTCGTAGTTGCGTGTCTTTGTTCCGTCGGCCAAACGCTTTCGAAACGTAACACTTCAAAACGACGACGTTTTGACTTCCAATCTCACGACCACTTTATAATAACACGTGTCTTTTATACACAATATTATTTATGCTCGTTGCTCATTACGCCATTTTGTTTCACGAGCGTTCGAAATTTTTCATTTAATTATTCGAGGCGTTTCGAATTATTGTATTTTTTCTAAGAACAATTAGTTTCATTTGAATGTTTTTCCAAAAAAAATATTATATAAATGAAATGCGACAATCTCGTTACTAAGGCGTTGCTTTTGCCGATAATAAGTCGTCAACATAACGCGATGGGTTGTTGGCGTAATAATTTATACTAAAATTATCTTTACAATAGTGTAGGGCGTGCGCGTGTAAATACAACGTTGCGTTGACATATTTTACAACGCACTCGCATCGCAAGACACGGTTCAATAAAATTATGTTTACTAATGCATTGAATTTAGTAAGTTCTCATTAAATTTCAAACGTTCACGATAATGTTGTGTGTGTGTGTTATTTCGAAAATAACAATTACGTCACAATTACAATATGATTTAGTCGGGTTGCGGAGCGTACGTTTCCTAGGTTGTTAAACCGCTTGTATTATTATTTTTTTGCCGCTACGAGGAAAAATTATTGACCTTTGATGCTTCTGGGAGATCATCGATGTCGTACTTTTTTTCGGTTGAAATTATGAAAGGAATACATATACGGTTTTTATAATAATTATTACGCGATTTTCGTGATTTAGTAATATCTGTTTTTCGCTTTTCGATAGGTCTTTGTCCTCTACAGCCGATACGAGATAGACTCGATAAATACACGAGGCGACAAATAAATTGAAATGAGTCGCGAGTGATATTTGAAAATATACATTTAATACGACGCTGCGGTGTAATGCGGATCGAATGCGGAATATAATTTGGGACAAGTAAAAATATAACTTACATAAAACATAGTTTCCTGAAATAAAAATTTCCATTCCATATTTGACATTTGAAATAGCGTCACCTTACTTTTTTTTTTAAATGGCTTTGTGCTGAGGTTTCTTGAATTGAATGAGTCATCGTTTACAATAATGAAAGGTTTTGAATAATTTTTTTTAATAAATCTACCATCGCCATTTCGGTGTCGTTTAATCTATAATTAAGGCAACAAGATGGCGCTTTTTGTCGTGAATCATAAATAGTTGTACATGGACTGGAACTGAAGTAGTCTATTTAGTTAATTTTAATTTTATTATTTTGTGTTTAAATTTAAATAAGTGAGTTTTGTTTTTAAATTTATTTTGATTTTTTTTGAATTTTATGAAGTTTCGTTCTTTTTTGTTTTCTTAGACGAAACAATTTTTATCGTAACGTTGCAGCGTTGGTAGTGATATGATTAATATTGAAATTATTTGAAATGTTAATGCTCTAAATTTAAAAACATTTACACGTTTATGAAGTTGCTCTAGTTGTGAGCGTTTTCCGTCGGTAACATTATCGCGAATATTACGTAAGGGCTTGCAACTTTTTTTCTTCGAATATCGGTTAGTGCCAGTTTCTGTACACGTGGCGTTTTTGGCCGCGTAGGTATAATATTCGTTCCTGATTTCGTTTGCCTTTTTTTTAAAAAGGAAATTAAATAAATTGTTTTATTATTATTTTTAGTTCAGAATGTTTTACGAGTTACTGTCATTACTTCCCTAACATTCGTCTGTTTTGGCAGTATTTTAATCTGTTTTCCTTTCTTTTGCTTGGCGTCGGTAGATTATCATTCGTATAATAAACGCCCTTAAAGCTCGAGGAATTTTACAGAAAAAATAATAATCGAAATACAACCGCCAAGTTCCATGAAATTGAATCGATCAAACAAAAATATGCGTTGATTACTCAAATCTAGATACTATGAGAAAAAAACATTTTTTTTCTATTAATGGCAAATGACTTCCCTTTTATCCTAAAGTGGTTACTGATGCCTATAGGTAACACTGGTTGAATGTTTCTGTATGGCATAAGACACGGACGTTAAATGGTTATCGGAGCCCATAGACATCTACAACATAAATGCGCCACCCACCTTGAGATAAGAGCTCTAAGGTCTCAGTATAGCGGCTGCCCCACCCTTCAAACAGAAACGCATCACTGCTTCACGGCAGAAATAGGCAGGCTGTTGGTAGGTACCTAACCGCGCGGACTCACAAGACGCCCACCACCAGTAAATACTAATACTAATTACCAATTATTTTTAATCAAATCAATCAACATTAGCCCCCCTCTAATCGTTTCACGTATTTCAATTACGATAATGATCGTAACTAGGAATAGACTTAATGAATTATCAGGTAATTCGATTATAGTTAGTCGAGATACTTATTCCTTTCTCGGAACAATATGTACGTATAAAATATAAAAGTATCAACTTTTTCTAGAGCGTTCGATTCATTCTTTAAATAGCACTAACAGCAGCCCACTGAGTTTCTCGCCGGATCTTCTCGGTGGGTCGCGTTTCCGATCCGGTGGTAGATTCTGCGAAGCACTGCTCCTGCTAGGGCCAGTGTTAGCAACACTCCCGGTTTGAGCCCCGTGAGCTCACCTACACGTCGAGGCTAAGCCGAAATAGCCTCTCAAAGCTATCAGCATAGGTAGGAGAAAGAAAAGAAAACTAACCATTATAAAACACATCGTGAAAGGTTATTATTTGGTTTGAGCGACATTTCTCTCAATACCTACGCGGCATTTTTTTTTGTAATTCTTCAAACGAGGCTTGCGGAGAGTACTTAGCGCCTTGGCTCTACCCCTGGCATTGCCCACGTCCATGAGCGACGGTAACCACTCACCATCAGGGGGGCCGTATACTAGTCTGCCTAGAAAGGCAATTAAGAAAAAAATGTCCACTTTGCTTGCTTAACAGTACTTAGCTTCTTGGCTCTACCCCTGGCATTGCTCACGTCCATGAGCGACGGTAACCACTCACCATCAGGTGGGCCGTATACTAGTCTGCCTAGAAACGCAATTAAGAAAAAAAATGTCCGCTTTACTTGGTATCAGCATCAACAATTCGTTGTTTTTAATTGAACTTCAATTCAGTTTACTTCATTCAAACAGCTAAAGAAGTTTTTCTTTTGCTTGTTACGATATTTTATCCAAATATTAAACGCTTAAATGGCTCTCCTGTAAAGTTGCAAAAATGTCCCTTCAACTGAATAGTAATTAACTCGTTTTTGTTTTTATTTTTTTATTTTTATTTACTTCTAATTTTGCATTCATTAACATTTCATATAGTATACCAGAATTAAATAAAAAACAATAACTACAATCTCGGAATAAAGCAAAAGCAATAATAATAATATTAAAATACTAGCTGTACCCGTCCGCTTCGCTGGGCATTTAAAATTAACATTATTATTTCTCACCCCCACAAAGATTCTCGTCATTAACGCCCCCGCAACTGGTGTAGGGAGTCCAACACTCATATAAATATTAGCCTATCCATAAAATACATGTATTTTCTACATGGATACCAAGTTTCCAGTCAATCGGATGCAAGATTTAGCAGTTATAACGGAACATCCGTAAAAACCACTAGATTTATATATTAGTATAGATAAAATCTCAAAAATATTAAATAAAAAATCTAAATTAACGTCAAAACTACCTTAATTTGATTACCTTTTGATTGAATGAATCACGCTAACAACGTTTCCAAGATATGTTTGAATTCAATGTTCCGATCGATGATATAACATTCGGAGAGTCTGTCCACAGAGCAATGTAAGTCATTCGGCAGAAGATCTTCCCTATGACTCTTACTCCAGAGACGCTATGACATGCCCTTCTCCAAACGAGGCTTGTGGAGAGTATTAAGCGGTAGGCAGCGGCTTGGCTCTGCCCCTGGCATTGCTGAAGTCCATGGGCGACGGTAACCACTCACCATCAGGTGGGCCGTATGCTCGTCTGCCTACAAGGGCAATAAAAAAAAAACGCTCCTTTCTAATTATGGAGGGTAGAAGTAAGGAGGATGGTAAAAACTGACAATCTTGTTTTTTTGCTTAGATGAGTATCCTCCGACAATGTGACCGCAAAATTCCATGATACCGGTTGAGCAGATAAGATATGAAAGCGTAACAAACAAACAAACTTGCTTTCTTTTTAATATGTAATTTACTGGTGGTAGGACCTCTTGTGAGTCCGCTAGGGGAGTCACCACCTATTTCTGCCGTGAAGCAGTAATGCGTTTCGGTTTGAAGGGCGGGGCAGCCGTTGTAACTATACTGAGATCTTAAAACTTATATCTCAAGGTGGGTGGCGCATTTACGTTGTAGATGTCTGGGCTCCAGTAACCACTTAACACCAGGTGGGCTGTGAGCTCGTCCAAAGAACTATGCAATAAAAAAAATTGTATTAGGATATGTAAATTTCATTTTAATCGTTTAATAGAATCCAAAATTCAAATTATTGAGATTTTTCGAAGCACAAATCTATTTTTATATAAATATAGAATGTTCGCGAATATTTAAAATAATTAGAAATTGTAGGCAGCGACTTGGGTCTGCCCCTGGCGCTTCAATAGCAAATAAAACTGATAACTACATATTAAAGTCTCCTTATTCGCGCTTCCTTCATTCGCGTTTTTCACTATTCGCGGATTAAAAAAATGCAAGCCCATTCTTATGTTCGCAGCTAAAGGCGGATCTAATCGGTACATTGACATTGATAAAACGGATTTTGGCAGCGGCTTGGCTCTGCCCCTGGCATTGCTGAAGTCCATGGGCGACGGTAACCACTCACCATCAGGTGGGTCGTCTGCCTACACGGACAATAAAAAATAATAATAAAAAAAAAACAAAGTTTACCATCGAAATTCTAATAACAGTTTGTATAATATTCAAATG